TTTTTGCATGGAGTTCTTGAAGAGGAAGTATGCATGCGTCAACCCCCTGGATATGTTGACAAGGATCGGCCGAATTGGGTGTGTAAACTTGATAAAGCACTCTACGGTCTCAAACAAGCACCTCACGCCTGGTATGCTCGGTTGTGTGGCAAGCTTGAAACTCTGGGATTTGTTCCATCCAAGGCAGATATGTCTTTGTTTTATTATCAGAAAGGTCGGCATACTATCTTTGTTTTGGTTTATGTTGATGACATAATTGTGGCTAGCTCGTCCAAAGATGCTACTGATGCTTTGCTCCGAGATTTGGAACGGGACTTTGCACTCAAGGATCTAGGTGATCTTCATTACTTCTTGGGCATCAAGTCAAGAGATCAAGGGACGGTCTCCTATTGTCTCAACAAGCGCTTATACTACTTGATGTTGTCAAGAGAGCTGGTATGGGCAAGTGCAAACCGATCAACACTCCTCTTGCTAGCTCTAAAAAAGTAAGCGCGCCTGAGATGGTGTGAAGCTAGGCCACGATGATGCGACAAGATTCGTGGAGTGTAGTGGGGGTTTGCAATACCGACACCACCAGCACTTGACATTTCTTTCTCGGTGAACAAAGTGTGCCAATTTTGCATCAATCGACTACGGTGCCTTTGGAGCACTTTATTAAGCGCGATTCTGCGGTATGTCCAAGGGACTTTGAACACAGGTCTTAAGGTTCGGCCTTCTCGATCCATGATGGTGAGTGCCTTGATGATGCCGATCGGGCAGGATGCCCTGATGACCGACGTTCAATCGGCGGGTTTGCAGTTTTTCTCGGGTGCAATCTTGTCTCATGGTGTGCCAAGAAGCAACACACCGTTTCTAGGCCAGTACTGAAGCCGAATACAAAGCGTTAGCCAATGCCACTGCAGAGGTGATGTGGATTCAGAAGTTACTTGATGAACTTGGGGTTCAACATCCTTGTGCAGCTCGGTTATGGTGTGATAATATTGGAGCTAAGTATTTATCGCTAATCCGCTTTTTCATGCTCGCACTAAACATATTGAGATTGATTTTCATTTCGTCCGAGAAAGGGTTGCTTAGAAACTTTTAGAGATCCGTTTTATTAATTCTGCTGATCAGCTAGCTGATGGTTTTACAAAGCCTCTTGTTGCAGCTAAAGTAGAAGAGTTCAGGAACAATCTCAACCTAGTGGCCAGTTGAGATTGAGTGGGGGTGTTAAAATGTATGTGTCTAGGTTCATTGTAACACGGTGCAATCCTCAGGTTGTTGAGTAGGCGCCGGTGGTTGTGCATGTGAGCATGCATAGATAGAGATCTCAGATATAGTTTGTTGTAATTCTACCGTGATGTACAAGGCCACGCAAGGGGCTTTTCCCTGCCTATATAACACGTAACCAAGAGCCCAGGAAGGGCATCTTGTTCCTTCATTCTTTACTCAACATGAAGAAATCATGGGTTGGAGCTAGGGTTTGGCGCGTAGTGTCTTACATCATAGAGGCACAAAAACTAGCAATCGCGGTTCTAAGCATTAGGACTGCCCTCAATGTATACAACTGTAGGCCTGTAGCATTTTATTCTTCTATGGTGTTATGCTTGAATGTACATGTAAACTTTTGTAGTAATTTTATATTGTGTTTAAGTAGTATCATATTAGAATATGGTCATGTTGGCAAATAAAATGGTTTATCATATGTAGCCATCTCTTATATTTAAAATTTCACATCGGCTAATAGAACATCGTAAAGGAGCGTGTGCAAGAAGTATTGGCCACAGTTGGCCGCACCGGATTGGATGACAGAAAATGGAGCGCCTCAAAGCGGTTTTTGTCCGCTTTCTAACGCGTGAAAAATAATGTTCGCTAATTTCACCTTCGTAGAGCTCTCATCGTCTCTTTTCTCACTAATAATATGCCAACGCACTATTATACGGAGATGTTACCCTAATTAATATCCATAAAATTCACATGACATTCTCACTAAAGACTAGTTACTTTCAACGAAAAAAATGATTAATCACAACAAAAATAAGGCACATTTAATCAATCAATACGCATGATACTATACGGGTCCACGATTTTCTATATTCAAGTGGGTGCATACTTGTTAGTATAATAGTATTAGCAGGAACTGTTCTCCTGATCACGTTCGTGTAATGTAACCACTCCACATCTGGGCTCCGGGTGCCATCATTCAAGCCATGCCACTGCATGCACGTGGCACTTGGTTTTAGGAGCTAGCTACAGGACAGCTGCAACTGCAACCCTACCCGCTGCCAGTGAGGATTTGTCGAACAAGGTAGTGCCCCGTTTCAATTATTTATAATTTGTTTTAGCATCTTTACATACACAACTTTTACTATATGAACTTAGACATACTGTATATCTAGATTCGTAATAAAAACTATGTATTTAGAAAAACCAAAATAACATATAATTTAAAAACAGAAGGTGGTATCAGATCATATGCCATGTCAGAAGCAAAAGAGGAACTCCTAACAGAGTCTCTAATGCATTTTCTAAACAAAGCCTGTTCGTTTGCTCGTAAACGATCGTAAATTTTCAGCCGAAAACAGTGTTTTTCTCTCACACCAAATCAGCCAGCAGTAAATAATCCACAGTACGATACGGCCTCCCGAACAGGCTATATTATACAGCTACGAAAGCAAATCTGAGGCCTTTCAGAAATGGCAGAGTTAGGCGGGCCAGACGAATTTTGTCCATTCGTGTCATCAGTATTTTACACATCCAACGACAACTTGACCTCCACCCTATTTCCTGTCCTTTTTAAGCTGTCTCTCTCACTTGACGAGAAGTCATCTCTTTTTATCTGTTGCTCTCGTTTACCGACAAGTTAAATATACTCAATTTTAATTAAATATATATAAGAAAATATTAATATTTATGTTACATAATTAGTATCATTAAATAGATCGTTGAATCTATTTTTATAATAAATTTATTTAAAGATATAAATGCTGCTAATATTTTTTACAAAGTTATTTAAACTTAAAAAAGTTTAATAGCACGATTTTTATAGCGACAGATAAAAATGGCATAGGGATTGGAGCATATGTGTTCGCAAAACAGTTATAGGGCTTGTTCGGCTGGTTGAAAAATCAGCCGGATTTCATTGTGCGCGGATAAAAAATACTGTTCACTTGCTCACAAATTCCTCTAGATTCATCCAGATTACTGTTCACTTTCTCACAAACTCCTCCCAACGAACAGTGCCATAGTTGCGATAACGTATGGTTCAAATAATCAATGACTGGATGATCCTGTCAGAAAAAAAATTGTTGGTTCTACGTTTCTTCCAAGTTCCAAACTGTCTTTTTGCGTTGCTCTCACTTTCAGAATGAGGTAGAAACGAAAAGACAACGTACGGGATGGCTGTTTCATGATAGCCACTGGACGGTGACTATCGGTGAGACCAAGATTTTTTTTTCCACTCTATAAACTATAGGGTATGGAGTTGGAACCTATTTCTAACTGAATACTAATCCGTAGGAAGAATAATAGGTAATTTGATTAAGACGTTGGAGCAATTCTATGGGACTCTCTATATCTTTTCTAATGGTTAAGAATAAAGATTTTGGTAAAAAATATCCTCCAAATATAAAAAACGAGAATAACTCTCTTAAATATAGAAAATTTGTTGAAGAGTGAAAAGATATAGAAAATAATTTTTATGCAAATGACTCTTTAAATAATGATAAAGAACATCTCTAAGAGTCTTTCTAAAGCTTGCTCTCTAAATCACCATTTGGAGAGCCATTCACATAAAAATCGTTTTCTATATATTTTTTCTATATAATGTGTGCGTTCTAAAGAGTTATTCTCGTTTTCTATCTTTGGCTAGCAATAATTTGAGAATAAAAGATGACTATTTTCTCTATCCTGTAATATAGTGCATTCTAGGAATTTTAAGACATATTAAGATAGAACATAAAAGACGCATATACCCTCATTTTATTTTCTAATCAGACGATATCATCAACATGATTAATGATGATTGGTTGATATATGGAAAATATTTAATGCAAAGTTGGTTTTTGTCCTTAGAATACATTATACTTGAGAACAAATTTTGAATGCTAGAATGTACTATATTACAGAACAGAAAGAGTATATTTGAATAATCGAATAAAGAAACCGTTGAAGAGTATTTTTTTTAATAAAAACTCTATTCCTAATAATTATGAAAGATATAGAGAGTCTCTTGAAGGTACAGCTTGATCGAAGATGCCCTCAGGACTAAACATATGCGGCCATCATTACACTATATAGTTTAATTAAAGAATCAAATAGCCATTTTTGGGCGGCCCTACCATGTTGCCTTGATGCTTGATGACCGTGATTTGAACGATGTGGAAAGATTTGTTCATTGGTGGTGTATTTTTCTTTGGGAGAATTATCTATTTGACACTGAAACAAACCAGTGTTTTGTATTTGGCATTCGAAAATTTGAACTTTCTTATCTGGCATCAAGTTAAAATTTCTTTTCGTAAATGGCACTGTCGTCCATTTAGGACAGTAACGGTGTCAAGCGACTAGTAAAAAGACATGAATACCCTCGTTTGCAGCACAAACTCATGGTGCTAAATAGGGAAGTTCAAGTATTTTCGTATGGATCGGAACGGCAGCGGCTGGCCGAAGCTCTGCTGCTGCTCGGCGGTGCTTCGCGTGAGCTCGGAGCGAGAGCGAGAGAGAAAGAGAGAGAGCTCCTGGACGACCTGCTCCTCAACGTCCTGGGCCTGCTCCCCGCGCGCGACCTCGCGGCGCTCTCGGCCGCGTCCAAGGCGCTCTACGTCGTCGCCTCCCACGACCCGCTCTGGCGGGTGCTCGTCCTCCACGAGCTCTACGGCACGTTCGACTTCGTCGGTTCCTGGCGCGCCACCTACATCGTCGCCGCCTCCCACGGCGGCCAGGCCTACCTCATCCCCTCGCGCGCTCTGAAGATCAAGGGCTTCTACTCCGACTACCTCTTCTAGAGCTGGCTCTGCGCCAACATGGAGATGCGGCACGAGTGGCTCGCGCGGGACAACATCGAGCGCCGCCGCGGCATGTCCGTGGAGCAGTTCGTCGCCGAGGTCGAGGAGCCCAACAGGCCGGTGCTGCTGGAGGGGTGCATCGATACCTGGCCGGCGTTACAGAAATGGAGCAGAGACTACTTGCTGGAGATCTCTACGGGTAAGGAGTTCGCGGTCGGGCCAGTAAGCATGCCATTGGATAGGTACTTCCGGTACGCTGACAATGTCTAGGAGGACAGGCAGGTGGTGACCGGGCGGTGGTTCATGCTGTTCGCGTGCCTGCTGATCCTGTCGTCGTCGGGGGGGCCACCTACGCCTTCGGCATCTACTCCCAGGAGCTACGGTCGGTGATGGGCTACGACCAGTGCGCCGTCGCCACGCTCGCCTTCTTCAAGGACCTCGGCCCCAACGTCGGCGTCCCCGCGGGGCTCCTCAACGAGGTCGCCCCGCCATGGCTCGTGCTCGCCGTCGGCGCCACCATGAACCTCGCCGGGCACCTCATGGTCTACCTCTCCCTCGCCAGCCGCGTCGCGCGCCCGCCAGTCTGGCTCATGTGCGCCTACATCTACGCCGGCGCCAACTCGTAGATGTTCGCCAGCACTGGAGCCGTGATCACCTCCGTCAAGAACTTCCCGGACGGCAGCCGCGGCGCTTTGCTCGGCTTGCTCAAGGGATACGTCGGCCTCAGCAGCGCCATCCTCGCATAGCTCTACCTCGCCATCTACGGCCGCAGCGACGCCAAGTCGCTCGTCTTGCTTATCGCCTGGCTCCCCGCCGCTGTATCCAGTCATTTTCCTCGGCACCGTCCGCGTGGTGCTGCCGCACCGCCCGAGGCAGAGCGCGACGCGCGGTGGAGGCGGCGACGTGTTCCGCTGCTTGCTCTACATCTCGGTCGCGCTCGCGGCGTACATCCTCGCCATGATCGTCGTGCAGAGGTAGACCAGCTTCTCCCACGCCGGCTACCTCGCGTCGGCGACCGGGCTCCTCCTGCTCCTCTTCCTCCCCCTCGCCGTCGTCGTCAGGCAGGAGTACCGAGCGGCTAAGAACGAGCTTGAGGAGCCTCTGCTAACGCTGCCCCCCACGACGGTGACCGTCGTCGATAAAGCAACTGCCTTGGCAATGGAAGGACAAGGACCGACGAACACGCTGGCGCCGCTGCTGTCGTCGGCGTCTCCTTGCCACCGCTCATGGTTGGTGCGCACGTTCAGCCCGCCGGCGCACGGCGAGGAGTACTCCATCCCGCAGGCGCTGGCGAGAGGGGAGGGGGCCCGCTCGTGCCGTGCCGAGCCGCCGCGGTGCGCCACCTCGCCAGAGGACGACCACGCGCAGCGCATGGAGGCCGCCGCGTTCGGGGCCCGCCACAGCGCCGCCACCTCGGGAGAGAGAGGGTGAGGGAGAGAGGAAGGGGAGGCGATGGGAGCAACTGCGACGGCAGCGGCGGCTGCATGGGCGCTGCGTGGGAGTCTTCTGTGTATCTAACGGGTACATCGGACATATAGAAAAAACTAACACGGTCAAACTAGTCAACTATAAGATTGATCAATGAAAATGGACGGCAGTGCTATTTAAGAAAGGAAATTTCAACTTGATGCAAGATAAGAAAGTTCAAATTTTCGAGTGTCAAATACGAAATACTGGTTGGTTTCAGTACCAAATAGATAATTCTCCCTTTTTCTTTTCTAGGGGAGGGAGAGAACTTAGAAGAAAGAGTGTACCAGGTAAGGAAATAGATCCTGATCGTTATCTTCGTGTGAAGCCGCAACTAAAATCTATTCCCAAAATCAGACTACCAGCCTGTTCGTTTTGGCTTATTTACTCGTATCTAGTTTATAATCTATGGCTTAAACATTATTTTTCTCTCACACCAAACCAGCCAGCAGTACTTTCAGTCATGACTTATAAGCCAATTCAGCCGAAACGAATAGGCTGTACAACTACAACATATGTATTTTAATTTACAGAATAATCTTGTCGGACTATAATAAGGATGACTACTTCCATATACTGATATTCATACATTTTAGGTTCTCTTTTGAATGCGGGATTTTTTTTCTACTTCAACGTTTTTTTTGTGATAATTGTGAAATTTCTATACGATTTCCGTAAAATTCATGTACTCCAAAGAGACCAAGTGAGAGCCTAGACCTCTAACTAATCAAATCTGAGAAAACTTTCGAAAAAGAAAACTGACGAGAGACGCAATTTTCTCTGTTTGATCAGATATCCTACTGTACGTCCGTTCCGCCTCTGTCCGTACGGAAATGCGTACTTCATCTTGTTTTTGCTACCCCAAGTAGAAACCGTAAAAGGATAATCATCCTAGGCTCCCACTCCCAGCTTCTCGCAATTGCAGCCTCCGGTCCAGCCGGTAGTGGCAGTACGGCAATTTCAACCTCAGCTGAAGGCCACCGGCACACCGTTCCGTTTGGCTGAAAAAATCAGCTGGAACACGGTTCTAATTAATTTATTGTAAGAAAAAAACACTATCTAAAAAAAAAACAAGCTACAAATACGGATTATAATCCGTCTCTCCTCCATCTTCTCTCTAACGCTCTCTCTCTCAACAAAACTCCCTGAATTGCAGCGCATGTTACTCTCTCTCTCTCTCTCTCTCTCCACCCGAAAACAAACTCCAAGCAAGCCCATCCATCGGCCATCGGCCATCGCTCTTCCTCTGTCCCCGCCCCGACCGCAACGATCTGCTTTGCATCTTCCTCTTCTTCCATTTCCAGCCCCATGCGTAATCTTCTTTCGGAATTGAATCTCTCCGTCTCATGGCGCTCTGAGCAAGTACAGCTCCAGTTAGTGAGAGAAATGTAGGCACCACAAACCAATCCAACATATCCCTGCTCTACCAGAAATCCAATCTTTTCCCAGCCCAAATCCGCCTCTTCCGGTGCTGCCATAAAGTTTGGACTTTATTACGAGGCTTTCACGACGTGCGAGATTTCTGTTACCAATCTCCACGAACCGGAGAGTCTGCCATAAAGTCTGCACAGACGCTTCGGTTCGTTCGCATTGCTTCAACCAAAGATCCATCCAAACTCTCCACCACAGAAAGCGACGATCTTGGGGGCACATGAAGAGCCTGCAGTGCTTCAAGCAGAGCGGCGGCGGCGGCGGCGGCAATGGTGGCCAGCCGGGGAAGCGGCTGGAGCGGCGGCTGTCGCTGGGCGAGTACAAGAAGGCAGTGTCGTGGTCCAAGTACCTCGTGGCGCCGCCGGGCGCCAGGATCCGGGGCGGCGGCGAGGAGCTGTGGAGCGCCGACCTGTCCAAACTGGAGATCCGGGGCAAGTTTGCGTCAGGCCGGCACAGCCGCGTCTACTCCGGCAGGTACGCCGGCCGCGAGGTGGCCATCAAGATGGTCAGCCAGCCCGAGGAGGACGCCGCGCTCGCCGCTGAGCTAGAGCGCCAGTTCGCCTCCGAGGTCGCGCTCCTCCTTCGCCTCCACCATCCAAACATCATCTCGGTATGAACTCATTTCTTTGTTTCTTTTCATATTTTCTTTTTTTTAAAATATATTGTACTTTACCGCACAATTATTCTTGACATGGACTTAGTTGAGCATGAGATGACCATCTTAGTATTCTGGGTCATATCTTTTTGCCTGTGCCATCAGTGTGATGAACTCTGCCTCGGATAAGTGGGAATCTTGTGGCTACTCTTAACCCAAGGCATGGAACAATTGCTTGTGCATTTCGTCCAGTCCAACCTAAATAAATCTATGTCTGCACTGAATCCCTGTCCCAGATGTTCATTTCTTGAGCTGTCGGTGGGGGATCTGCCTCCTAACCACTGCATGGTACTCGGTAATCTCTGTTTATAAGAATCCTTGATTTAGAAACTGAATTGATGAAACGGAAAAAAGGAGGAAAAGTCCGGCGTATATGTGTTTGCAAGATACTTGTTGTGTTCTTGGTTTGATCTCTGTATGAAGTGCTGAATTTTTATTTGTTTGAACACGTTTTTCAGTTGAAATTGCGCGTCCCACGTCGTTGTTCCTTTGTTGGTCCTTTATATCCGTGCAGTAGGCTGTAGGAGTTGTTAGGCTAACTGATCTTCACATTAAAGTGAAAACCTTTATGCTTTGCTTGGATTGGAGGGACAGGGGTGAAGATAAGATAGTTGTGGAGTGAGGCCATTTGTGCTTACCTACACCGTAACCTGACAAGCTGGGAGGCAACTTTTTCTATGGACAGTATGAAATTGATATTTGGGATAGTGAAATTGTTGACAAGTATATACAATTTGATGTAGGATTGTTCAGGAAAAGACAAATCTTCTCGACTATGCCCTTTTTCATCTTTTGTAACCAACCCTTTTCTATCCATAAGTAGTGCGGTTAGTTGGTAATAGCACTTTGTACTTTTGTAAAATGATGTCAATTTGTTTCTGAATGTTTTTCTAGTCGCACTATCTGTCCTACTATTTAGTGGAATCTTGCATCAGTACATGTGAATAGTTAACTACATCGAAATCTCTGAGCGCTGCTTCAATTATAGAAGTTGTTTGATGGGAAACGTTGATTTAGCTGGTGAGAGGGATTTATCTTTATGCAATAGCGTTGATGTTGGAATAACTGAATATTTTTATACACTAGTGCTACGAAAAACTACTAATTATTTAGATTAATTTGATTAGTTCAATCACTGTCTAAGGTACCTTTTTGCTGGAAGGATGTGTATTGGCTTCATTGTGAACATGTTGGGTGAAGAGATCCTGGGCCAATGGTTATACTGAGATTGCTATCCTTGCTTGATCAATCATGCTATCTACTGCACCGCACCATAGGTGATGGCATTAGATGCTTGGCTGGCAAGTTATGAAAATGATGGTGTCTTCATGAAAACCATGGATAACATTAACATCCAAGCTTAGTTGGATGCTTTTGTAGAAAAAAGCACATCTTGCTAGCAATAAATAACGGAGAATTGACGCAGAGAGGGATAGTTCATGTACAAGTAAACATCAGTCTAACTTTTTGCTTTACAAAGTGCCTGCCTTTTTTCACTTGACACCTAGAAGTCACATGGAAAAAGGTTGCTTTACGGAACCAACATAACTGAGTAAGCTTCGGAATTCGAATGATATTTATGCAAGTTGCAATTCCATTTTTTTTCCAATGTCTGGCAAATCTCGGCAAGAACCTTCTTCTCAGTGAACATATCATGAAAATACATTTGCTTATATTAACTCAAGTGACATGCCTGCATATGATAACTTAAACATTAACTGTTTTATACTGTCTTATATTGCATCTTGAGCTAGTCAGTCGTGTGTGCTCATTTTGTTAAACTCTACTTGATATGGAATACCACTTAATATCTTAAATTTTGCAGTTTGTTGCAGCATGCAAGAAACCACCAGTATTCTGCATCATCACCGAGTTCATGGCTGGGGGTTCCCTTAGGAAATATCTACATCAGCAGGAACCTCATTCAGTTCCCCTCAAACTAGTGCTGAAATTAGCTTTAGATATCGCTCGCGGAATGAGTTACCTACACTCCCAGGGTATACTTCATAGAGACCTGAAATCAGAGAACATACTTCTGGGAGAAGATATGTCAGTCAAAGTGGCAGATTTCGG